TCGGCTAAACCACACAATGGGCAGCCTAATTTGGTATCGAATTGTCCATCCACGAAATTCGAACGTAAGACCTCTCACTTCTAAGTGAAGAGGAATACTATCATACCGTAGTATTGAGTGGCCAAAAAAGTTGAATTTTAATTAATACAGTTTCTATTGACACTTTAAAAAGTTTCTAAGTACACTTTTTTTTTCTTTTTTCTTTTTTTACGGGACAAGCTGGTGATGAAGCCATGACAGTTCGCTTTCCTGAAAGTCGAAAAACTCATATAGACAGTTCAGCCGGAAATCAAACTCAGGATGAGTCATGTGGAATAAGAGTTTGAAATTCACTCAAATCATTGGGCAACTCCTCTTTAATAGGAATATAATAGATAAATTGCATTATGAAGAGTCTTGCGAGTGTAAAATAAATTTCTTAGAGTGCTAATAATAATTTTGTTTTGATTATTATCATACATGATTTATATTAGATATGAAAGTTACATATAATGAGAGGGAGAAATTATTCCCAGGAAGAACCCTAGATTTTGGTGGGTCAATGTTACCCATAACCAGCCCTAAGTAATGAGTGCCTTCTAAAAGGATCTGGATTGTCTGCCCTCCCCCATACCATACCCTTCTATTTTTGTGATCACGATTAAGTCACATCAACATTTTATATTCCCATTGCTTTTTGTCTTATTATTTCTATAAAAAAATCAATATAAAATGTTAACGTGGCTTAACCGTGACCATAGAAATAGGAGGGGATAGGAAGGGTATGAGATGGGGAGGGTAGATAATCCAGGTCCTTCTAAAAAGCAAACATGCAGTCAATGTTGTTGCTTATTTGGCCTTCTACTTCAACACAAACTCATTATCTCATATTTTGTTTTACACAATATTTTATAATATTAATACAAAAATTAACATTAAATTGTGAGGCGACAAAAAATTTATAAAAAATCTCACTTTAAAAGAATCCTCCTCACATTTATAGTAGTTATAGGCTTACAGTTGAGAAGTCCTCTCCGGATCCCTTCCACCAAGTTCACCAAGGCCACAAATCTGAGCCTTTGAAATTTGATCCAACGACTAAAGTTAGTATAACTTTTAAAGTGGACCCTTACTTGTAACCGCTGGATCAAATTTCAAAGATCTGAATTTGTGGTCTTGATGGACTTGGTGAAAGGATCCAGAGAGGATCCATTTCCCTCTACGATTCTACCAATGCCACGTATTGAAGATGAGCATATCAACGTCCTTCTGTAACTTGCCTCCCCCAATCAAATCAAGCTTCAAGACCCTCCCGAGTCTTAATCCTTTCACCCTTCCACACCATCTCCTTCCACAATATCTACTAGATGAGGATTTAAGAGAAGGCATTCTCAATTTTCATAAAAATAAGGATTAGTTGTGGGATTTACATCACATTGAAGTTTAACGATTTGAATCGCTTGTTTTTCAAGTTGTACCTTATAGATCATCCGTGCAAAATACTAGCCAAATTGGAAATATTTGAGATATCCAATTGAGTTCAAAAAAATTAACGAATACTTTATATACGAAAACATTTAAATTTCATTGTGATACGTTAAATTTACAAATGATTTCAAATTGAATTGAACTTTTGCAAAGATGATCTATGAATCGAGACTTACAAAATAGACAATTCGAATTATTGAAGTTCGATATAAAACATATCTCACAACAAATATTCTTTTTTAATAAAATAAGAATCTCTTTCCTTAATCTTAGTCTCCAAAATACACATTGCAGTCTAGCGTCACTTTGACTTCATTCTTCTTGTTTGGTAGAACCGGAACAAAAGTTTACGTCGAATATTGTCCCAGCAGGAAATTAAAAGGTCAAATTTGTTTGAGGTGCGATCGGACAGACCGTCGCATCCATGAAAGGCTGCCACGACTGACTTTTTCCATGCAGCCGAACACTATATTCCTTCGGAAAATCATTGGAGGAAGCCTCGAGTCGCTTTATATATTCAGAGGGGCCCCTCTCCCCTGCCACAATTTGTTCATTTGTTTTTTAAACATAACATTGATCTACGTACTCATCTACTCTACCCCACGAATTATTACATAAAATAATTGGGTTGTTCATGCAATTCTTTTCTGGTCATAGAATTTGTTCACGTTTAAAAAAATATTATCCTTTTCTTAAAATTAATTAATTTGGAATGTGGGATTTCAAACGTTAACTCATGTGTCTAAAATAAACAGAAGAATGACAAATTAATTAATTTTTATATATTTGATATAGTTATATATAAATCCATAAAAGTAAAAATTTTAAATTCTAAGAACGTCCAAATTAAGAATAATATTACAGAACTCTTTGTTTTTCAATTTTTGATTCAAGAAAAAAACCTACTTTCCACTCAATGATACAACAATTTAGCGACTGGGAAGGGTGTGACATCCCACATCGCCCAGGGAAGTGATCCTTAAATGTATATTCTCATCCTTACCTAGCACGAGGCCTTTTGGGAGCTCACTGGCTTCGGGTTCCGTAGGAACTCCGAAGTTAAGCGAGAAGGGGGCTAGAGCAATCCCATGATAGGTGACCCACTGGGAAGTTGCTCGTGAGTTCCCAAAAAACAAAACCGTGAGGGAATGGTAAGCCCAAAGCGGACAATATCTTGCTACGGTGGTGGAGCGGGCCCGGGAAGTGATCCCCCTGGGTCGGGATGTGACAATTTGGTATCAGAGCCTAACCCTGGTCGTGGTGTGCCGACGAGGACGTCGGACCCCTAAGGGGGTGGATTGTGACATCCCACATCGCCCAGGGAAGTGATCCTTAAATGTATATTCCCATCCTTACCTAGCACGAGGCCTTTTGGGAGCTCACTGGCTTCGGGTTCCGTAGGAACTCCGAAGTTAAGCGAGAAGGGGGCTAGAGCAATCCCATGATGGGTGACCCACTGGGAAGTTGCTCGTGAGTTCCCAAAAACAAAACCGTGAGGGAATGGTAAGCCCAAAGCGGACAATATCGTGCTACGGTGGTGAAGCGGGCCCGGGATGTGGTGGACCCCGGGCCGGGATGTGACAATTGGTATCAGAGTCTAACCCTGGTCGTGGTGTGCCGACGAGGACGTCGGGCCCCTAAGGGGGGTGGATTGTGACATCCCACATCGTCCAGGGGAGTGATCCTTATATGTATATTCTCATCCCTACCTTGCACGAGGCCTTTTGGGAGCTCACTGGCTTCGAGTTCCATAGGAACTCCGAAGTTAAGCGAGTAACGCGCGAGAGCATTCCCAGGATGGGTGACCCATTGGGAAGTTCTCGGGTGAGTTCTCAGAAACAAAACCGTGAGGGCGTGGTCGGGGCCCAAAGCGGACAATATCGTGCTACGGTGGTGGAGCGGGCCCGGGAAGTGGTCCCCCCGGGTCGGGATGTGACAAAGGGTTATTTATGGGAATGGATGCTAAAACTGGAAAAGTGAAATAATACAAGTCAAAAGTAAACTGGATTAGTGTATTTTTTTTAAATAGATATACTTTCCGTATGAATAATGCATTAAATTGTACCTCTTTTAACTTCAACGTACTTGTTATGGATGTAGTGACGTTTAATACACATTATGTTCCCACCATTTTTTAAGTATACACATAAAGTTTACATTTCTAAACAAATTGTTAAAGAAATAAAATAAAATAACACTATTTTAAAAAATTTGCTGAATAATACACATATGTATTTTTCACATAGTATATGCTTTTTCTGTCTTGATCTAATTATATAATTTTCAACGTTATCCAATTTATAGAGTAAGGCTATGCCTACTCAGCTACTAATTAGTGTAAATATTCATGATAAATACAAGTATACAACTATAAGGTGGTTGGGAAAATAAATAGAGTCAAATAGGTAGTAATAGTACCACTATTTGAATATGAAAGACCCATTTTGATATTTTGCATTTTTACCTTCTTGCCACAATTTTATATTTTGGAAGACTGGAGTCTGGAGATAATAGGAATTGGATGAGGATCCTCCCCGGATCTTTTTTGTGGGGATCTTAAGGATCCTCACATCCTTAACCGTTCATCGTATATAATGCGTCAGTTTACTTCATGTACTATTTGTGTTTAGTTTTAAATAAAAAAAGTCAAATAAGTTTTTACAGCACGATATATAATGAATGGTTAAGATGTAAGAATCTCTATAATATTCACAATTTGTATTCAGAATCCATTGGAATTGACAACACTCATTGCTCAATTTGAGAAAAAAGCCGCATCAAAACCTTAAAGAATTAATTTAATTCTCATGAAAATAATTAGAGAATACATTCTTGTGCAAAGAGACTAGAGTAGTATGTCAAGTGGGAAACTTACGCAACACGAGGGGCTCAGATATGAGCTAAAACTGTGCAATGGAAAAAGTCATCCACTGTTGTCCCATAAATTACAACTCTTTTGTCGATCTCATATGTTTATACAACAACACAAAATGGTACATAAAATGTTATGATATTAAATATGAAAATGATAATGTTGATATAATATGTTTTAAGGTAAGGGTTTTTGAACATTAGTCCTTGCAAAAGATTAAAATTTAAAAAAAAAAAAAAAACCTGGTGCTAGATTACATATTCAATTTAATCCGTGTACTTTTATCAAAATTTATATTCAATTTTTGTTATTAAATGTGTATTTTTATTTAATCTCTCCACATTAAATTTTAATTTTATTAATATGCACATATTTAGTTCTTTAATTATAAATGAACATAAATGAGAAAATATTAAAATAAATTTGTGATACAAAATATATAAATACATGATTGTGTTGTGCCGAAATATATATAATTGACTTTTTTGTACCTACATGATTGTACCGAAAAATATTATAATGAACCTAAATGTATGTACCGAAATGTATTATATTGAATTAATGTATCTAAATATCAATACCGAAATGTATTATAATGAACCGAAATATATGTACCGAAATGTACGTACCGAAATGTATGTACCGAAATATATGTACCGAAATGTATGAACCGAAATATACGTACCGAAATGTATGTACCGAAATATACGTACCAAAATGTACGTACCGAAATATACGTACCAAAATGTATGTACCGAAATATATGTAGCGAAATATTCATACATATGAATTGTGAAGTATAAAATTCTAATACCATTCTTGTTGCAAATGCAGACCATTCTATATTCATCAATTGTGAAGGGAGGAAGACGAAGTTTGATGGTCATACATATGAAGAGGACTTGAGCTCTTTCGGACCATCAGACTTCGTTTCGTCGGCTCAAAAGTGGGGCTACAGCAGTACCGGAGTGGACATGAGCAACCTCGATGCAAATTACATTGCAACATCTTTGAACATTACCGGGCCGGATTTATATCGAACAGCGCGCATTGCCCTTCTTTCACTTAAGTACTATGGCCTTTGCATGCTCAAAGGCAACTACAAATTGCGGCTCTACTTTTCCGAGATCATGTTCACGGATGATCAAACATTTAGCAATCTCGGAAAACGCTTGTTTGACATCTCAATTCAAGTGAGTACAAATAAACTTTCATTTATTATTTGTGATTCTTTGATAGTTTATTTAACTTTTTTTTTTTGCAAACACTACAGAAAGTTCAATGGGCAACATTTAGTTTGTTTGGCGCATTCCATTATAGATCACACTTTATGCTCTTAAAACTGTTCATGATATTTCTTTTGGCATTTACTTGACCACGACACTTGTTTGGAAGGTCATATGCCGTTTAGCTGCTTTATTTGGGTGTTATTTTATACGAAGTTCTAAAAGAAATGCAGAAGTATATTAATGCCGTATTGAAATTGTGATCATGTGCAGGGGAACTTGGTTTTGAAAGACATCAACATTATGGAAGAAGCAAGAGGTGTTGGTAAGGGCATTGTCAGAGAGTTTGACAATGTCACCGTTATTGGTAGCACACTGGAGATCCACCTATATTGGGTAGGAAAAGGGACGACTGCCATTCCTTATACAAGTGTCTATGGGCCTCTTATATCAGCCATTAGTGTGACGCTAAGTAAGTTTTACGTATGTTGTAGAATATTTACAAGTACTTTCTCATCTATTAGATTTACATTTATTCTAATAAAATTATGCTTTATTTTGGCAGACTTTGAACCTCCAAAAAAAAATTTAAGCTACGTAGAGCGTGTTAGGAGTCATGTGCCTATAGGCACAATGGTAGGAATTGGATGCGCAATAGCAGTCGTCATCATCGCCATCGTATTACTAGCACTCGTTATTCTTTGGAAGAGAGGCCTCCTAGGCCGACAAAAAAAATTGGAGGATGGTATTTTCTGTTTCTCCATTATATTGCCTTTTGTTTTCATTGCATTTCTATAGCTTGATGCATATTTAAGTGCACACTATAGAACATTTATCCTAGTCTGTGACTTCTCATGCATATTTAAGTGCACACTCTGAGATAATAATTGTCTAGATATTGAACTTTTCGATAGCTTGATGCTCTTAGAGTATATTATATTTTTTAAACTCACGATGCAAAGTATGCATGCCTATAGTTCCAGGTAGTTGTTAAGGTCTAGGCCTTCAAACAATAGTGGGATTTAAGATAAAACAATGAAATTGTTCTTAAATTTGTCTTAGACACGATAATTTCTTATGAGTTTTACCTATCACGCAGATTTGAAAGGTGTGGAACTACAAACTCGCAAGTTTACCTTTACGCAACTCAAAGATGCCACAACCAACTTTGACCAATCCAATAAGATTGGTGAAGGTGGTTTTGGTACTGTTTATAAGGTAATTTTTGAAACAAATAATTTATTTTCTAATTTGATTAATAATTGCCATCCTAATTATGATTAATTTCTCGCGTGAAGAGATTTGTATTAACTATCTTAGTCAAATACATGGCATTCTTGTAGATGGAACCCTAATTGCTGTTAAGCAGCTTTCTTCCAAGTCAAAGCAAGGAAATCGGGAATTTGTTAATGAGATAGGCATGATTTCTGCCTTGCAACATCCTCACCTTGTAAACCTATATGGATGTTGCATTGATGGAAATCAACTATACCTTGTCTATGAGCACATGGAAAACAATAGTGTTTCTCATGCTTTGTTTGGTAAGTATCACCTTTGTACGCCTACATTTCCTTTGGTATGCACATGGTATAAAAGATTGTATGCACAAAATTAAGACTAATTTTGATTAACTTGACAAACTGAAGGGGCAGAAGAAAGTCAGTTGAAGTTGGATTGGCCAACGAGGCATAATATATGTGTTGGCATAGCAAAAGGTTTGGCTTACCTTCACGAGGAATCAAGCTTGAAGGTTATCCATAGAGATATCAAGGCCACGAATGTGTTGCTTGATACACATCTTAACCCGAAGATATCGGATTTTGGGTTGGCCAAACTTGCCGAAGAGGATAAAACACATATAAGCACCCGTGCTGCTGGAACTTTGTGAGTCCATTTTTTAACTTCTCTTCTTATATTTCTCCTTCCAATATAGTTATATTATGGCATATGTTTATAATCATTGAATTGGTGTCATGATTTCATGATTTTGCAGTGGATACATGACACCAGAATATGCACTTCGGGGTCATCTCACAGACAAAGCAGATGTCTACAGTTTTGGAATTGTTGTACTGGAGATCATCAGTGGGAAGAAGAACTCAACTCAGCAGACAAATGCAGAGGGATTTTATATTCTTGATTGGGTAACTTTCTAATTGAACTTTAATTTTGGTTTTGTTGAAGTTGTTTACTATTATAGAAGGCCTTTTTTATATCTTCTTTGTTGAAACTTCACGTTATTTTTTAAGATACATAAGTTATTTTGCTTTTGTTCGTTTCATGTTGCTAGGCGCATGTTCTCAAATCAGAAGGGAATTTGATGAACTTAGTGGATCCAAAGTTGAGTACAGAATTCAACAATGAAGAGATAATGGCTACAATCAATGTGGCTCTCCACTGCTGTAATTCCACTTCGAAGCTTAGACCCACAATGTCTGCAGTTGTGAGTATGCTCGAAGGTAAGGTTGCAGTTGAAGAGTTTGTCTTGGACCCCAATCCCTCGACAAGTGATGAGATGGACCCAATGGTGAAGAAACTTTTCCAATTCTGTTTGAGAAGGGGCGCTGGGTCAGTTGAAAGGCTATCGGATGATTCATTTGCAGCTTTTGATGATATCCATCCATTCAATCCTCATTCAGGTCGCCAAGACTATAGAAAAGGCAGAAAATGGCACAGTTTTTAGGGATTTGAAAATTTGAAATCACTACTGTCTTCTCTGGCAACAAATGTCCAACTGCAAGTATATACATTTTCCTGTGTGTGATGTTCACGTCCAATTAATTAAATGGTGCAAAATCCCATACAAATTTCTTAGTTCTATGGCACTAAAGATGAAAGCTAAGTTTGACAAGTACTGGAGCAAGTGCAGTTTGGCTTTGGCAATAGCAGCGATCTTGGATTCGCCGATCCAAAATGAAGTTGATGGAGGACTACTACTCTCAAATATACGGTAGTACTGCTCTGGACAGGATTAAGGAAGTTTCCAATGGACTCACGAACCTTTTTAATGCTTATTCAATTTGCTCAGGAATGGTTGAACAAGTTACAGCTTTGCGTGGCAGCAGCTTACCCAGTACCAGCACTGATAGTAGGGATCGATTGAAGGGATTTGACAAACCTCTCAGAGCCAAAACATGATATCGGACATGGACAAGTATCTAGAGGATCCAGTCTTTCTACACGCTTGTGATTTTAAAATATTAAATTGGTGGAAGGTCCACACGCAAAGGTAACCTATTTTGTCCATGATGGCAAGTGACTTTCTGGGAACTCCTATGTCAACTGTTGCACCAGAACCAGCATTCAACGTGGTGGTAGAGTGCCTGATGAATGTCAAAGCTTACTGAATCCTGACACTCAGAGAGGCTTTGGTCACTCAGAGAGGCTTTGGTGTGCATACAAGATTGGTTGCAGGTGGAATTAAAAGGCATGTGAATTACAGCTTGAGTTTTACGTTTGTCCTTCATTATAACGCATACTTAGCAGTGATCTTATTGCAATAATTACTTATTTCTCTTTTCTATCAGATACCAATTCATTGTCAAGCCATTCTGCTACGCCAATTCCTTCAGCCAGACCAATTCGTGTTGAGTAGAGTTAAATTTCCAATGGTATGAATCTGCTACATTTGCTGCAAGGTTGATGGATCAGCTATTGGCCTATCCTGTGCTGTCTAAATGATGTCGACACACCTAGAGCTGGTCAGGGCAGTGAAGCTTATCTATATCTCCATGTCAATACATCACATGAGACTCATTAATTGCTTGTAGTTCCTTGTCAAGCTTAGTTGTTAATTTAGGATATCAACTAGATTCCCATACCTGTACGTAAATTAGAGGGACCTCTTTCGTCATTGAAAGGTGTATCTTTGATTTTTGAGCATTCTATTCTTCCTTTGTAAGATGTGGTTCTTCATGGTTTAGATTGAATAGAAGCTGAATTTGACAAAATGTTGGATGCTCAATCAATAATCTATACATTTTTATGTGTGTACAAAGCCTTCATCTCAAGTTCTCAATCAATTTAGTGTTTTGATTCTTACAATATGAACTCCTTATTGTTACACATTTATCTAACTACTACTTCCCTGGAGCAATCCTACAGGAAATTTCCAGATGCTTATTTAGTCATTGCATATGTGTTTGGGGTGGTTTATTGTTGGCAAAAGAAAGAATAAAAATGCATATTAAGATCATATTTCAGTCAATCAATCTAACTGCCTAGGACTCATTTTGGATTTTTTTTCCAGACAATTTGATGATGCGAAAGTGTTTAAATTGTTGATTATAATGTTTTTAAATAGGTTTTGGGGATGGAATTGACCTAGATTGAGAATTGAGGGGTTTAGAAGCTCAAAAAGTGAAAAATAACCATAGAAAAGCTGCATAAACTTTCCAGATATTTGGTCATTAAAGCATTTTTTATGACGATTTTCAAACAAATTGTGATCTCTAAACTGTCTGTTTCTGGGTAATTTTCTGTCAGTAAAGGTTCTTTTTTTGCTTTCTGCAGATTCCTGTTTTTCAATTAATTTATTCGTTTGCAGTCACATGACCTGATCTTGAAAGGTCATTCATTACATTGGTAAATACTACCTCTTTGGAATTTGAGCAACTAAACCTCTTTCACCTATCTAACTTGAGTACTCCAATCTGAATTTTTTTATACTTGTGTCTTAACTACATTGTAATAGTTGAGAAGTGTAGAAAAAAGGAAAAGGGAATAGGAATTTTAGAGAGAGAAGGTGATGTGATATTTTCTCTGTATATTTTGACGTCTTCATTTGCTCTGTATATTGTATTGAATGAAAGATTGACTTACGAGAGTCAGAGGAGATTAATTCTTGATTTACCAGTTTGATGGAATTCAAAGTGTCTAATGCTTGAAACAGCCTTAGAGTACAGGGGTGTATTTTCTCTCCTGCAAGAGCATGACCCTTCATACACATCAGCTTTAACCGACACAGAATGGGAATGTACGAGGTTTGTTACAGTTTATCTGAAACTTTTGAAATCATTCATGTTTTTCCTGGCAATAAATGTCCAACTGCAAGCATATATTTTCCTTAGATTTGTCATGTTCACATCCAATTAATTGAATGGTGCTAAAGATGAAGGCTAAGTTGGATAAGTACTCCAGCAAGTGCAGTTTGGCTTTGGCAGTAGCAGCAATCTTGGATCCCCAATTCAAATTGAAGGTGGTGGAGTATTACTACTCTCAAATATACGGTAGTACTGCTCTGGATAGGATTAAGGAAGTTTCCGATGGCCTCAAGGAACTATTTGATGCTTATTCAATTTGCACAACAATGGTAGATCAAGTTCCAGCTTTGCCTGGTAGCAGCTTACCCAGTACTAGCACTGATAGTAAGGATCGATTGAAGGGATTTGATAAATTTCTCTATGAGACCTCTCAGAGCTAAAACATGATATCAGACTTGGACAAGTATCTAGAGGAACCAGTCTTTCCACGCAGTTGTGATTTGAAGAAATTAACTTGGTGGAAGGTCCACACGCCAAGATACCCTATTTTGTCCATGATGGCACTTGAAGTTCTGGGAACTCCTATGTCAAATGTTGCGCCAGAATCAGCATTCAACGCTAGTGGTAGAGTGCTTGATGAATGTTGACGCTCACTGAATCCTGACATTTGAGAGGCTTTGGTATGCACACAAGATTGGTTGCGGGTGGAAATAAAAGGCATGTGAATTACATTTTGAGTTTAATGTTTGTCTTTCGTTATGACCTATACTTAGCAGTGATCTTATTGCAATAATTACTTATTTCTCTTTTCTATCAGATGCAACTCATTGTCAAGCCATTCTGCTTGACCAATCCCTTCAGCCAGACCAATTCTTGTTGATTAGAGTTAATTTTCCAAAGGTATGTTTCTGCTACATTTCCTGCTTTATTCCATATCTATTCCGCAAACCCAACGTGGCAAAGTACGGACTTGTGGTGTAACTTGTGATGCAAGGTTGATGGATCAACTCTTGGCCTATCCAGTGCTGTTAAAATGATGCGGACACACCTAAAGCTGGTCTGGGCTGTGAACCTTATCTATATCTCCACGTCAATACATCACATTAGACTTGTTAACGCCTTTAGTTCCTTGTCAAGCTTAGTTGTAAAGTTTAGGATGTCAACTAGATTACATCTGTACATAAATTAGAGGGACCTCTTTTGTCATGGAAAGGTGTATCTTTGATTTTCGCGCAGGCAACTCTTTTCTTTGTAAGATTTCGTTAAATTAACAAAATGTGGATTGCTCAATCACTAATCTATATATTTATGGTTATGCACAAAACCTTCATCTCAAATTCTCAATTAATATATTTTAGATTATTCTTTCAATGTGAACTCCTCAATGTTTATTATTGATGGCTAATAACTTCAACTGTCTTGCTGTTATAAACCATGTATTGCTGAACTTAGCATATTTTTTTTTTACAAAGCGATATTCTATATTATAACTCAGGGGAGAGGTATTGAGGTTTGATCATTAGCCAGCGGCTATTTTAAGAATATCGGCGTCTATTGGAAGAATATCGGCGCTGTTGTTATTCCGGCGCACTTTAGACCTGCAGCTGGTATTACTGGTAAGATATAAATAAGCTTTCTTCAATGGTACTCCGCGTTGGCTTCAATCCAGTGACAACGAGGGTAACTGCATCGTGTGATTTGATATGGTGAGGAATCATTTGAAAAGATAATGGTGCCAACAAGAGCAGATGTTCCAGAGTGTATGCCCCCTCCTCAAGATGCTTTGTCAAGTGGTTTTTGTACTCTTAGTTGTGTGTAGGATAGGCTAGGATCTATTTATTCATTTCATTTCGTTGTTTTATCTTGATTATGAGGTATAATCTACATATCTTGCATTTCGCAGATCAAAAACTTACAAGCCAGGTTCATGAAATTGTTGGGAGAATTAATGGCAGATTTGGAACTTTGACCACTGTCCCAATGCGTCACCTGGTATGCCCTTGATTTTTCTGAGTAACTATTCCATGATATTGAAAGGCCATATTTGGTACTTAGTGGAATTTAATACGAAGGATGTTGATGTGCTGCTTATGTATGACGCCATTGGTCCGTCTTATTAACTTTCTGTATGATGATAGCACATTCACAGGCATAATTTGAATTTGAAATGCTAGACTCATGGCACAAGGTTCAATAGTTGGTTATAGTTCATCTGTCATGGAATTATATCTCTCCTGCTTAGCACTATTCGATAGAGGGTAGTAGTTTAATAGCCACTATGATCAGTAGCAGTAGTTGTTTTTCATCTATTTGAAGTTTCAAAACCTATTACATTTGATTTGGATGTAATACTTCCTAAACAACCTTTCATTGTCTACAGGAATGTCAGTAAAACAGAAATGTCAGTAATTATGTGCAATTTGTGTGTTCCGCTTCTGTCTGTCTGATTGCAGTTTTACTTCATTTTGTTTTATTTTTTGGAGAAAAATCCTATTGCTCTTTTGTCTCATGAACCCCATCTTTACTTTTTTTTCTTTTTTTTTTCATCCCATCCCAATGTACAAATTTTTTGTATTGTTAGTTGCCTGCGGGATGGCCATTACTTGGTGATCACATTCAACATAAGAGACCAAATATGTGCCTATCAATTGTTTGGTGTGCAAGAATGCAGTTGAGATATTCATCATTTGATTCTAGGTTGAGTTGTGCACTTTCGTCTCTTTTATAGTAATTAATTTATTAGTTGAAAACATTGTACTTTGAGGAGGCAAGTAAAGCTTTTGGTTGGATACTATTGCTAGAAAATTGGAGGAATGGTTAGGATTAGTGCAGTGGCCTTGACGGATAAACTGAAGCTTTGGACGTTTTAGCTGTAAGCATTGCGCCTGAATTGAGAGAGAGTCCTTTCATGATACATTGATCAGACTGGGTGCAGTCAGCTGATCTTTGGAGTTTTGATGCTGGTGCATGGAGCAGTTTTTTTCTTGGACTTATTGTAGTTTTTACTAGATGGCGGACGTGTTGTTAACTGCTGGAAACTATTTTTATAACTCTTCTAACCCTTCTACTAGTAAAGTTTTACTATCTCTAAAATGGACAGGTGACCATCGGATTTCCTTAGCAAATATAATCTTGGATTTATCCGGGTACAACAACTTGGATTAGAAGCCCAAATAAAGCTCAAAAGGGTGAATGGGCTTTGGATGTTGTTCTGGAGAAATCTGTTGTCAAGCAAGGCAGTGATGCATGGAGAATTATTCTCGATTCTTGCCTCCCTGTGCTTCACCTAATTGGCACCAGGCGTTCCATCCCGTATGCCAACAAACAGATTCAAGAACTATTGGGAGTGTCTTGTGCTTTTGGTCGAGCAGTTCAGGTAAATCGGAGGTTCACAGTTTTCCTTCTTTGTAGTGCGAATCATCTGTATCAGGATT